TGAGCCGAAGTAAGAAAACAGATTACGGCCTGTTATAATTTGTACGTAACGCAAGTAGTTGTTAGGGTTGCCACGTAAGTGTAAGTATTATGAGTATACATGAACCAAGTCTTAAAATATAAACACTGATTTGCATACGACATTCTTGGAAAAATAAAATGAATAAGCTTGAGATTAAGATAAGCTAAACAGTCAAAAAATATATGAAAGTAGGTAATAAAAGCGTGCAGTTTGATTGTTACCGCGTGTGGCCAGATGGTATCCGTATGTTGAGTATGAACTTGATAAGATAAGGTGGTTGTGTAGATGGCGGGGTGCGCGGTCGCATCCGCGGGCCTGCGTCGTATTGCGCCGGAGACTCGCGGCCGCGGTACGGCCATCGACCGCACGCCTCCTCTAAAATATTCCAAGCATGCACAAATTAAACTGGTTTTTTCTTCATATTACTTTATTACTTTTGCATAAAAACATTGTAAACTAAAACAATTTCGCAATATTGTGCTATAGAGCACACCTGTTGGATATTATGTGAAATGAGTTTTCGCTACAGCTATTATCAATGTTGAGGCTGGTTATATCGATGCCATGACCTCGGAATTGCTAGGCACGAATAAAAAAAAACTTGCAATAAACGACGATGAATGACGGAATGCTTAAACTCGAATGGATAACTTTAGATGTTTCTTATATGCCGATTCTTCAGCAATTATTTTATAGTTTAACTTAAATTTTTAATCGACTAAAACCGACATTCGATTAAAGTTTAAATAAAAAGATGTAAACTATATTCAAGTGTAGTTAGTATCTGCCTGTACTACTAGTGGTACAAGCCGTATTTTTCAGGTAACAAACCAACATTGAAACACTAGCATTAAAAACATTTTTGTCACTCTTTTACTTCGTTAATTAAAAACATTAAAACTTAGGTGTATTTAAAATAACATTTGACGTGTATAAGTAATATGAAATTTAGTTTTACAGCCAAGTTATTAACAAACAATTAAATGATTATAACAATGTTTTAAGTCGATGTTCCAAACAAAAGCAATCAGTTTCCACGTGAGCGAAGTCGAAAGCTCGCTCCAATTCATTTGTAGCTTTTTGTCTCGAGGGAATGCAAGTCGTCAGACTTTAGTCTGGTCTGCAGGGCAGCAGCGCGGGGGGCCCGTACCTCGCCCTTTTGTTTTTATACCCGTGCAAGAATGCAAAACAATTATAATTCCCTTAGGGATAAGTCGCCGCGCTCCTTGGGAACCGAGCGTACGTAATCAACAAACGATTTTCGTATCTTATTCGGCTTGCGGTTTGAAAAAACTCTAATTGGATTAAGCCAGATCAGACGAAGTATTATCTGGAGGCACTGGTACTGCCTTCCGCGGATTGGCCCCGGCTTCTGTTGATGAGCAGGGAGTGGCTCGGCCGCAGCGGGGTCCGAGGCGGCCCGCTCACAGGCACCGACGCTGACCAATCCATTTACGTTAATTACGCCGAGATGGGGATAAATCGGCGTCCAGCCGTCCACCGTCGAGTTACGAGCGAGCCGACTATAAAATAAATTATACCCACTTCGTTCGCCTCCACTCAGTTTTTTGTTGCCGTCCAAAGCGAACGAAAAAAAGAAACAAAAGCAAAATCTCGAGAGGACGAAATACGAGGCAAAGACAAAGCTTGAATTTATCTACTGATAATATAGACGTAGGGCGGGTGGCGCGGCAGACGCGGAGTTGCCGGGTGGCCGGCCAAATTATACGGCCGCGCATTCCTGCGTCCAGGCAAAAACATGATATATAGCCGCCTTGTGACGAAATATTTGAAATTCGGAGACCTGCCCGCCACACTCTAAATGGATTCCACTTTAAATATTATCTCTGACATTCTTTTCAGACGACTTTATAAGCTTTTACATGATATTTTAAGAATGAATGAAGACCATGAAATTGTACGACCATTATATTCTAAAGTAAGGATGCTTAAAAGTGTCAAAACTAGTTATTTGTGTGGTGTGGATTGTATTGTTAGAAGATACGATGAGAAAAGAAAGGCTTGAGCGCGCGTCATGCGGCTACGGGCTAGCTAACCTTATACAATTCAACTAGATGAATTTCCTCGGAGGAATGCGGCCCCGCATGCATACGGCATACGGAGTGTCCGAGAATAAACTCTACGCTCTTAGACAATTAAATTATTACGTATCTAGTGATTCAAGCTGCAACACTTTAAACCATTTTGTTTATGTGCTGCAATCTACTTTCTTATACGAGATTCATGTTTTGCGATTTTCTGTAAACGGTTCGAGTGGCGCATGGCGTGGTAAATTCAGAATGCGTTTAGATTTTTACGCAGTCATATAGGTGTGGTTTAAAGTTAGCCACAGTAGTTCAATGGCATCCAGTTAGAACTTCCGAGCGGAAGCCTAGCTTGAGATCATTATAAATGATCGATATGAATAATTAAGTTGTCATTGCTTGACGTAAATGTTTCAATGTTTCTTTTTATTGCTTGTTGTGGTTTTAAACAACATATAAATATATTTTAGTCGGTCAAACTATATTGAATTAGTATCTATCTGCAGGCGATGTGTATTCTGCTAATTCTGTACGCTTTATTCTAAACATTTTAACGCATTCATTTCATTATTTCATATTAACACACTACATTTTTATACTTTCAGGAAAATTGAGACAATAAAAATATGTTTACGATAAAAACTATTTGTATAGACTTAGGTACAAATCGCTTAAAATATTCATACAATTATAGTTATAAAACTAAATTAAAAAAAGAAAACATGACGTCAAGCTCCAAAATTTCATACAAATTACATCGAGAGCTTTTCGTTTTGAACATTCCAATATTATCTTATAGATTCTTTATTCTGAAGTAGGATACCCTGAGTCCCTAAGTACCTATAAGCATATGCTTTACCTAAAACTACGCAGTTACATATATGTAGTTCTAGTGCTAGTAGTATTTCAAGTCTGACTTATATTCTAATGGATTTAAGAACAGTATTAGAAAGAAGATGATGTCGACATAAAGTCTACTGTCTGAACCAACCTTTTTTGAAGGATTGACCCATTCAAGAAGTTTTTTACGAAGCATACTCCACGTTCTATTTCCATCATTTTTTAAGGAGATCTCTTACCCGGAAAAGTTGGTGCAAATGAACAGAGTCTTACGTGTGTCACAACGCACTTGTGGTGCCTCTGATTGTACAGGTGTACTTGGGATACGGTAGCTGACTACCATCAGGCGGGCTGTAAGATATTTATGTCTACTAATCTTCTATATGTATATATATAAAAATGAATCCCTATTTTCCTTGGTCACGGCATAACGCGTGAATGGCTGGACCGATTTCACTAATTCTTTTTTTGTTGTATTTGTTATTTAGGAGAAGGTTCTTAACAGAAAAAATCCTGAAAAGCCTGAACGGGAGTAAACGGGATTACGCATACGAAGTCGCGGGCAGAAGCCAGTAGTAATATAAAAAGAACGATAATAATTTATCCATCCTGGGTATCGAAACCGAGATCCTATGATCGGTAACCAAACTTCTAACGTTTGCTGAATCTGAAACTATTGAAAATACATTAGACACCTTGGTTTCGATAGGTCAAATTTTTTGACGTTTACGTAAATCAAATAGAATAAATAGTGACGATTTGTCCGTTTGTCTTGTGGTTTTGGATACAATATACAATCTGATGATAATATGACAGAAAGAGTTGTTCCAGATTAAAATCAATGTAGGTAAACACTAAAGTTGTTTATTTTCCTGGCTTATATAAACTTTTCTCATCATCGGTTGAATAACAACTGGCAAGAATCTGTATCATAAATGTCTTTTTCAAATAAATTAATGCCGTATATGGACTAACCGGGAGCATACTACTGTTGTACTGTAATACTCACACATTAAAATGTTTCCGTACAATGTACTGTTCAAAATTGCACTTTGTGTAGCTGAGAGTTGATCATACATTAGCATTACTAGCGTATGTATGTAGACCTGCAATTTTCGTACAAAAACAAAATTCAGATGTGTCGTTGTGTTGGTACATTCATTAGTCTTTTAACCTTGTGACGAGGTTACTGTGACACACACCTCTAAACGACCACGTTCATCTGTTGAGGTATATTTTGACTGGAGCTTGAACGTGACCTCTGTTTCCGGCTTTTGTAGGCATAACATGAGTCTAAATGCCAAAAAGGAGAACTGTAGCACAATGACCAACAGGTCAAGCTTCTCCAACCTTCCGATTCTTTTCATTGGATTTTCTACCTTATATCAACACTATAAAGTTGACATTATGATGAGGAAATTTGACAGAAACGAGTAGGGTATGCTTGCTGCCTGGTTAAGCTGCTCTGCAAATTTTGATTGTTCAAAGGTCATTAAACATTAAATTTTCTTCATTCAATTTCAATGACTTCTGAAATAACACGATTAAAGTAACAATAGATGAAAGTGAAGTTGTTTGGAATAAAGGAGTTTGTGTTTCTGGTTCCTGACCTTTTCACAAAGATATTGTGCCGGTCAGTTCTCTGTTCAATAGTTTTGATTCATTCGCTTAAACATTCATATTTTTACAGGTGTGATTGTCAAACTATTAATAATAATGTGTTCTGAATGATTCTTACAATCGATTTATTGTTACCATTTTCCAACACTTTGTGTAATATCTTCTACTGACTGTTTTAGGTAACCATTTTTACAAAAAAATATATATTATATAGATAAGCTCAAGTCACGGCGTAGAAGAAAACCTTTGGTAATACATTTCGGTGTATGATTTTTCATAGATTAAAATTTACTTTTCTATAATTATCTAGATATGTTACTGAACTACTGCAGGTGTAAAAATGTGTTGTTGTGCAATGTAGTGCATTTCTACATAAGTAGTTGTAAACACCTTTGACTTTTGACAGAAGTCTACTGTATAATCAATTTTCTTAATGCATTTACAACCTGGGATGCTAAATGAATAATAAACAGATTCAATTTAAAATTACATCATTTATTACATCTGCATTTTAATAAAATAATAATTACACGAATATATACACAAATAAGTATGTACAATGTTCGAGGCCGTCACTATATGTACACTGGGTCCACGAGTTATCACTAGGTCCGCACTTGGCGTGGGGGGCGCCTTCGTCATCGGCAGCCGCATCCCGTCACCATCATGTCCTGATAGTTTTTGAGCACCACATTATTTAGTTCGTCCATATATAACATGGAAATAGAGGAGAGCTGCGTCGGTACACAGCACGCTTTCGGCACCGCGGCCGGGTTCACTGAGTTCACGAGAGTCTGCACGATGGCGTGATTCGTGCCGTTCAAATGGTCCGCCAGCGGGAACGGACAGTCACCCTGGCAGTAGTACGCCTCGTAGCCATGCGGTGCAACGATCCAGTCGCTCCACCCGACCTCCGCAAAATCGACGTACAGCGGTCGTCGCTGGCAGATCTCGCGGGCCTCCTTGCGACGATGATGTGCGCGGTGACCCCTTCGTTGTGTCGCCCGCTTGTTGCGCACCAGGCGCGTTTCTCCACTCTCCCGCGCAGCCCGCGCTCGCGCATCCTCCGTGTACAATAGCAGCAATGGTTGCCGCGTATTCCATTCTTCGTCTTCTTCTTCCGCACGTCTCCGCACTCTAACATGAGGCCGTTGAGCGTCCACATTTTTCTCACCTTCTTCTAACACTCGCACTAATAGTCCATGATTATGTTCAGGCTCCTTGAGCCATCGTCGTGCTGCACCGAGCGCGTCTGCAGTAACAGCACCTTTAGCAGTTCTTAGCGGTATGGAGTCAAGAAGCCGCAAAATAGGAGCTGTTTTACCGCGACGGCCCGGTCGAACTACATCGTACAGGAGCAGTCGCTGATCACCTTCGACTCCGTCGACTCGTTGGAACGTGAGATCTGCCCCTCGAGCGAGTTCATCACTGGGTATCCCGCTCAAGTTGAAATAGAGGCGAAATCTATGCTCGCCAGGAAACCTCGAGTCCAACTCGGTGGGAGTGTGGTGATAGGAGCGCGCCGTGTTGGCGGCAGCGGCAGGAATGGCACCGTCAGCCTCATAGAGTAGGCGCATGGCTCGCGGCACCAACGGTGGCGCGGCGCGGCGCGCTGGTCGGCGCGGGAGGCCCAGCAGTGCCAGCAATTGGCGCTCAGCAGCGCCTCGCGTGCGCTCGTCCAGTCCCGCGCACGCGCACAGCGCCACCAGCGCGCACACCACCGCGCATGCGCACGCCCCACGCATAATTCTCCTCGACCCACCTGTAAAGATACAAAAAAAAAAGTTAATCCTGACGTTCAAAAAACTTTATTAAATTATTTATAGGTACGAATAAATTTTTTGTTTGTGATTAAACTAGTAAGGGATTTCACAAATTAACCTAACCTATAAACTTTTTCGCGACCACCATGCTTAAATTAATTGGTTTTGTGATATTTGTACCATATTGTGTCATATACATATAAGATTTACCATACAATTTTAGAATATAATAATTATAATAAATGGCCTTAAGAAGCACCGACATAATTAAAATCCATTTAACTGAAACTTAGTTATTAGCGGAAAGACCTTGCGTAGTAAAGTACGAACGTAGATTTGTTATTGAGTCAAGTTAAACGTTAAGCCGACCGACAACTGTTCACAGGGACCTAAGGTTTATCGAGGCAGATCAACACAAATAATCCGATTGAGTAAGAATTTCCAATGAACATACAACACAGATGCATTTTACTAGTAATTGGTTGGTCAACAAAGACTGACACTGTGTCCAACCGGCAGTCGTTTTATCTCTAGGTGTATTTCTAATGAATGCACTAACATACATTGTAATATACTCATGCATATTTAATTCAATTGAGTAGTACATGTACCGGTCAACATGCATAAGTGGAGAGGCGAGTTTCGAACCTCTTGTCACATTTAAGTAAAACCGTACAAGCTTATGTACTTGTAGTACCTACCATAAGAGTACACCATCGGCTTTAAAGTCTTCCGTTTTTATTTAAACGTTGTGTTCGGATGATGTTAATAAACATCGGTTAAATCACTAACTGTACACTTTTAATTGAGAATAATTTGCTTATATTTGGTTGAGCAATTAATAATTAATTAGAGGTATTGAGTAAGCTTAAGCTTGTGACGCGAGTGGCACATTGAGTAGGAATGAGATGGAGGCGCACGTCTCCGACTGAAGGTAAACGATGACTGATAGTGGTCAGTGATGATGACTATTTTTATTTGAGAACTAGGACACGCCCCCCGGGCGATGATGGACCAACCTCAAAGGTCAAATACCTTGCTTATCATAGAAATCGTTTCGTCGTCATTTTCATTGTGAAATTCTTAACACATTTTGGAACTTTTTGTGTTTTGAGGGTTGTTTGGACTTGTTGTTTGGATGTTTTTTTTAGTCTTTTCTTAACGCGATTTTCCGAAATAAACAAAATATATACATACGCATACATTAATTCACATTAGCCGTAACGCTTTTTAAAATTTTAAAGTGTGGTTTTAACTGAACAGCAATGTAAGATGCTTTGTAGTTTCCATTGCCAATACATATTTGTTTTTTACAATAAAATACACTTTTTACACAACAATGAAATTGATGCTACTACTTCAAAATTAAATGGAAAATCGTTTGTTAATATATCAAAGGCATTCCTATACAGGTGCGTGCGTATATTATACGGATATTTACTTCATCTAACTAGCTCTTGTATACGCGCCACAAATAAAGTAAGAATTAGCAAGGTAACGAAATATCGCATCTTCAATAAAACAATTTTCGCACCACCTCGCCAAACCACAACACAGCTGTTTATAATCTTATCTGTGTGTTTGTTTACTCTTTCGGAATTTCCCTGTAATTGTTTACAAGAATGTTTTCGTTCGAGTAATTTATAAGCGAATATTCTTAACACTGAGATAAACCAGATATTGCTCGAAAGCAATGAGATGTACCATGTGTACCAGTATTTGCGATAATCCGAAACAATCTTCTTATGTAAAGATTACAAGAGAATATCCGGAGTTAACCCAGTTTTTCCTCAAGTATATATTTACACAGTTGTGTCATTCAAAATATGCAGATGTGTTGATTAATTTACTAACGAAGTGACATCTCTACGGCGTAGCAAGAGGAGGGGATTATCAAAATACAAGTGACCATGTGACGCGATACATTTAAATGTAGATGAGTTACAACGTCTGCAAAAAGTGAATATCAACGAAATCCTGCTATTATACTGGCCATTACTTTGTTTTTTTATCTAAAACACCAATTCACTATCACTGTTTAACGTCACTCTGTATTTAACACAAACTGAGAAAAACAAAATTGTAAAAATGTTGCTAATAATACATGTTCGACGATACACATTACACACCATATTAAAATGAAGAGAAACCAAATTCACATGTCATGTTACACAAACACCCAATATAAACATGGTTATATCGCTCAAGCACTTTCCAAAAGCGTTCAGTAAAAGACATCAACGGGATGCGTTTCGTGCTGCTACGAGTAACTGTACGCGCTGTTTAGTTCGCTTGACATTATTTAATCACGATTGTTTAGCTCAAACTAATCTTATTGACTCTAGTCATGTACAACTGACTACATGAGAAGCTCGGGTATGTAATAATTCGATTAGCAGCGTATCTTGAATCCTAAATTGCAACAAAACAAACAGTATCACAATTGTATGAAATTAAATAACTTTTTGTGAAAGTATAGTAAGATCACGAAAGTACTGGCTGATCTGGAAAAATATATTAACGTCACCGAATTTATGTATATGTTTTTGTTATAATGTTTTGATCGTTCTAGCGCGGTCGACCGGATTGCGGCGTACGTATTTCGAAAATAATGCGGTCAAACCGGCCGCGGGCGCACGACCGCTCGCCTCTCTCACTCACCCGAAATTTTAACGCATCCAACGTCGACGGGTACGCAAAATCCGCGATATCCTCGAACAAACGCACAATCAACGTTTGGGAAACAGATGGAGTGGCACTCGTTCACGACCGAACCGATGGCACATAACAGCGGAGTCTGGTAACATCACTGTGTCGGGCAGGCGCGCGGGAGTGGTCGCGCGCTCGTGCGTGCGGGGCTGAAGTGTTGCGCATTGCGTGCTCGCGGCGCTGCGCTCGCGGCCCGAATGAGCGCCAGGCGCGGCAGACGCGGCGGCGTCGTCCACGGACCCCGCGCCTGCGCCGCCGCGCGGGCGTGCCCGCCCCGCCCCCCGGCCCTTGCACACCGCCCCGCCCCTCCGACAACATGCCTGCCACACTTCGGGAACAACCCTCACCACACCACTAGCCACCACCACCACCATCAACACCCACACTACTACCTAAATTCACCAATTCCTGATCGACACGTCAGTGCTGTTCATTATTCAGAAACTTTATTTTTTTTTGCCCAAATCCAAATAATGACGCTTAGCTTCTTATAAAAAACCAATTTCGAATTTCTCTAATAAACTGCCAAAATGCATTACGTCCACACTTAGACTATTTGCTAAGTCTGAATGTTAAACCGCAGAATCCACACTTACCACACCGTGACACTTAACTTTTGTCATCAGTTAGTAGGTATTTGAACCTTAATAAAAGAAATCGGACCAGACGTAAGTACATAATTACAATACATGGGTGAACTTGAACGAGAGTGAACAGTCTACGCAACTGTAGAGATAATTTATTTTTGTTTATTTTGGGACGGTCGCTACGGTGCTACGAATGCTACGCAGCGATAGTTTCGGGAGAAATCAGGAAATTTATAATGTCAGCTAAGATAAATCTTAGTTATATAGTTCTGTTATTGGGTAATAATAACTAATCTAAATTATTGATCTAATATTAGTCACAATTATGCAGTTGTTCATGGCAGTGCCGAAAAAAACGGTTCGAAGCCGCTTTGAACTACAAAACAAAGCTCGAGAATCAACCGTTAGGGCGATAACACATTCTTTTAAAAGTTCCTATAGAACTGTCAAGTCAGTGTAATTTTTCGAATCCAAACAAAAGCGTTAGTCACTCACCAAACCGAGTCCCAGTGATAAGAAGTGACAACAGAGTTTATCATTTACGACGCGCTTCCTCTAATACCTTGCTTGTAGTCTTTTTCACGTATTTCAGATAATGGGTGATGTGTAGTTGTTTTTATAGGTTTCTCTTATGCAGGACGCAGCTGCCACAAAAGTTATAACAATGAGATGTGATTGAGTAAATATTGCGAAGATAAAAGTGAAGCAGCGTGTCTGTCCGATGAGTGTGTCGGGAACAATGATGAGTGATGTGTTTCAGGTGGCGGCATGTTGACCCACGTGCCCTCACAGATGTACATCTCAATACTATTTTTATGAAACAGGTGTAACATTAACACAGTTATGTTTGATATCTTACGTAAGAGAGTGTGATAGGTCAAGTTTTTCTGGGCACATTTATTGCGCTAATATATTTTATGAAATGGACAGTGCGATTCGTATCGCCGACTTGTTGTGACATGATATAAGTACGACGCATAGAAATTTCATACAAATAATCATTGCAAATTATAAATAATTTCATTTGTAGTTTATCTATTTATACTTTTTTGTGCCACTACCATAATTCTATATGTAATTTTAACTTGGTTCAATGCAGCCTTAATGCCATGGGGCATTTATCTACTTTTAGCTTTGAATAAGAAATCTAGATTTACTTTAATATCGAAATATATTATGGCGACGTTTATATTTTACCTATTATAAACGTGTTTTTTTTAAGAACACAAGCAACAAATCTATGAAAGTACCTATTAAACGTTGTCCATATTCTTTTCTTGACACGTATTTAATAACATTGAACTGTTAGCAAATTATTTATTTGTCTAGAGCAATCAAATACTAGCGAATTACAAGCTATAAAACTACAATTAGCGACAAATGTAAATTCACACTTTAGTCAGTCAATTATTTGATCAGTCGAGATAAACTGAATATCAAACAAACTTCACGTTCATTACCGTTACATTTATATGGAAGCCTTCCCGTCGCCCGCGCCTGCGCAAACTCGTTACATAATTCATGCTCGGTTTTAAATAATCGTATCATAAATTATATGCAGTATTTTCTTTCTAGATCCTCATCGAAAAATTAAATAAATATAAATCTGAAGTCCATTAAACTGCTCTACTAAAAAGTTCAGAACAGTTTCGAAGTTGTTATAGCCGTCGTAATAAATCGTATAGAAACTTAAAAATACCGGTACAATGCGGTTTTATAGAAGATAATAAACCTCAATTATTATTAAGTATGAGCGTTCATAAATACGAGCTAACCGCAATAATTATTGTGAGCATGAAATTCGGCAACTTATTGAGTGCTACCGGGCACCGCGAGTGGCGCGCGGCGGCCTGCTACCGGAGTTGCGCCTGCGCCGTTACGCGCAAGCGCAAATAACTAATGCTCTGTCGGCTATGCTCTTTTTTTGGCGCGTGTCTCTTGGGGCCGTTATATGAGGTATTTTGACGGTAGCGAAAGTTAGAATCACTTTATACCAGTTTTTATTCGGAAGATATAGAATAATAATTGATATTAAATCTATCGCGACGTATGCCGCGTTGGATTTGAAACATTGCCAACTTCAAGTTTGCTTTAGCGGCGTTTGGCTTAAAACTTGTTGAGAATTCTTGCTTTGTTAGCATAATATTATACTGAATGATTAATAGAGCTCGTATTTAATCATTTGTCAACCTGTTTGATCTTTACATCGGTTTTACAAATGAATAAATACGTGGAGAGTCAAATGTCTACTAATAAAATTATGTCTACTGGTTTTGTGCCTCACAAGTTCACAACCGCTCGCTGTGATTTACTTAAAGAACTTTCTGAGATGATTTAATATTATGACATCGTGTTTAGCTTACAAGTAGTGTTAGTTTTAGATGAGAAATTGTTTTGTAACCCATAAATCAATTCAAAATAACACGGGTTGTGATAAAAAGACGAAATAAGCAAACTTGAGTCTTCTTCTTATCCTTCTTGAGATAAAAAGTAGGTTCACCCAACCTCCACACGAATTTCGGTGAAAAGTTAACAAATATATGTAATGGGTATTTATTGGTTCTGAATAATTTTTCTAATGATCAACAGACAACCCTTTCTGTCTTTATTTCATTTTAAATGCATGTCTTTAACTTTTTAAATTAATCATGCGTACTCGTTACGAAGACAAATGGACCTAATTAACTCGTCGAGTACCGGTTTTGTAGACACAATTATAGAACAATAGGTTGCGGTCACCGGTGACCGCTTGGTGTTTGACAGTTTAATGAGTTTAAACTTACTAGTAAACGTAAATATTTACTATCAGTCTAAGCTTCCGTCAACCACCTTCCAATTCCATCATCATACCAGCTCAATTGAACCATAGTTTTGTGTGATAATCTAACCTACCTACATTTTAATTGCTAAGTTTCATGATAAATCATAACAGTTCGAAGTGTGTGTAATTCAAATTCTTCGATTTTATTACATTGTGTGTCAACCCAATAAAATGAGTGTTAATTAACACAATTTTTTGTTTTATTTTATACTAATCCATACTGCAAATATCTAAGCTTCAAGGAGTGTCGCAGCGCAATGTGCAACACAAA